ATCTGCAAAGCGTTTGTTAAAGTGTTCATGGGTGAACAAAGGTCAACAAGCTGTTGTAAATATCAGAGCTGATAGTACCCAGAAGGTGACTATGATCTGCGTTTGTTTGACGTCATCGTGACGGAGCTGCTTCCAACTACATCACTGTAAGAAAAGGACTCTATTGTTTTTGGGTGAAGTTCTTTGAACTTGATGTTCAAAGGTAGATCGTTTGAACATCAAGTTCAAAGAACTTCACCCAAAAACTGTCGAAGTCCAATACTGCCACGACAACGCGCCAGTACATAGCGCAAAGATTACCTTAGAGAAGCTGAACAGTCTGAGCTGGGAAGTTCTGCCTCATCCATCTTACAGTATAGATTTGGCGGCAACTGACTACTATTTATTTCGAACCCTGCAGAATCACGTTGCCAATATACAGTTTAATGACAAAACTCGACGTTCGAGATTTTCTTCAAAAAAAAACCTTAGTGATTCAAATGGTCAGGGGATGCAGCAAAAAGAATGAAAGTTTGCAGCAAAGGTAACGAGATGTGATTATCTACGAGGCTGAACTGTAATCCTTGTTGAGTTAATTGTCAATAAAGTTTTTTTTCCAAAATGTCTGAATTTCATCTTTACAATCTGATATTTTCATTGTAGATCATATTAGATAAACATGAACTTATTTATTTATATAAAATCTTTTAAAATAATTAATATTTTTAAACTCAGAAATTATTTGCAAATTTTAATGCATATTTCTTTATTTATATTAAAAATATTATTTATATAAACAATAAATTTATAAACACTTCATTTAAGTGAAGATAAATTGTATTTAGGTGTCGAGTAAATCTAATTTGAAAGATTAGTAATTAACATACGATAGGAAGAAATTCACGTTAATTTATATTTTCTACAATGTAAACTTTAAGAACTGGACAAAATTTTAAATGTTTTATTAATTTTCCTTATACTAAGTTCGTCTTACAGTGAAATATTATACTTATAAATATTTCATTTTATAATACTACAGTAAATAAATTAAAATTTCGAGAATTTGAAAATAATTAATTCGATAATTTAAGAAAAATTCTTAAAACTGTAATTAAATAAATTATCAAATGTACTGTAAAGTGAGCAAAACTTAATTTTTAAAAATTCCTAATTTTTAAAAATTCCTTCTGTTCGATATTTCGATATTGTAACTCATCTGTCAAGGACTCAATAGGATTTAAGTCAGGGAATTAAATCATGCTGGCCATTCCGTACGTCAATTCCTGCTTCTGAAGCATGTTATTCATTAGACAAGCTCAGTGAGTGTTATCATCCATCAGCAAGAACAACTCACAAATACAGCTTCAGCATATGACATGATAATCGGTTGGAGAATCTTGTCTCTGTACTTGCGACCATGAAACTGTCATTTCTGATTATGTGTAGGTCTGTATGCATATCACGCTTATGCTAGTCAATCCACCAATCCACCTCCACCATACAGTGATGTTTCCTGCATAAATGCTGGATAAATTTATATATACTTTTGTAAGTATATAAACCTTTGTATACTTCAGATGAGAAATCGTCGATTATCTGACTCATTGGTAAAGAGACCTGGATTCCTTTCGTTATGTTCCCAATCACAATGCGGTTCCTGCAATTCCTACAGGACTTACGTTGTTATGCAGTTAAAGGGACACAAATCATTGGTCTATGTGCATAAAGATCACCTTGCCGAAGGTAATTTTGAATGGTTTAATTTGATACCCTGTGTCCTGTTGCCAAATGAAGCTGATGTTTAAGTTTTATAGCACTTTACCACCTGTTCTGATAGGCACTTAACGGAAAGAAACGATCGTCCCTTGCTGCTGTTGCTCTTGGACATCCTTGACCTTGTCATCTTCAAACATTTCCTGTATGCTGGAAGCAGATCTACAGTTAAAAAATTATATTTTGTGACATTCCCGTGGCTTCTGCTACCACTATCTGCGTCTGGCCAGCTTCCAGCCTTCCAATCGACCTCCATGCTGTTAATTCAGGTAAATCATGCTGGCAAAACATCGTTGAAATCAACTACTGCATAAAACCAACAGATTATACCAATAAAGACAATTTGCAGTTGAACAAGGAGAACCCTGGGGCAACATCGTTTACATAGAAATCGGTCATTTGCGTATTCTGCTGTCTCGTGTACTCATTTCCATTCAAATATGCATCTCTCTGATGTCCACATCATATTCCATGTGTAGTAAATATGATATTACATGATTGACTTACATCATATCATCAATTTCCATTGATCCCCTTATTGTTTTGACCAGTGTAAAGTTAAACCAATAGAGAGTGCACCAGACAATTCCAGTTAAAAAATATCTTTAAAAAATAAATAATTATAGATTCCCAAACAGAAATTACTCCTAAAAACCTAAAAAATGTTCAGAGATTAATTCTTAGAGCTTTAAAAGTAGTTTTTATATCTACAATGGTACAATAATGCTGTAATATGCGTCTTTTATATTATCCTATATACAACGCAGAGGATAATGTAAAAGCATTAAATATATTTACAAAAAAAAATGTGCACATTGGTTGTTCACTTAATAAATAAAGAGATTTATGAGCAGTTATGTCCGATTCCAATTCCACTAGGATGACTTCTTTTTTTGTTTTTCGTTATTTATTGCCAATGTTCAATAGTTATTTTTAGCTCATGGAGTTTATTCTCAGATTACTCACTCCATATTCATGTTAATTGCCAAATATTTAGAGATTTTAGTCTGATAATAGGCTTTATCTCAGTACGTGGGAAAAACAAAGATTATACAGCAAGAGAAAAAATAGAGTTGGCATTAATATCAGCTTTATTTACGTAGCTATAGATCATTTATTCTTCCAGTCCTTTAATCTAATGTTAAGTAAACGATTTAATATCTTTTTCGGTCGCAGACTCAATCAGAATTTACCTCAAAGATAAAGCAAAATGAATGATTGGATTAAAAACCTATTCGTCAAACGAAATTAATAATAAGTGATTATAAATCATATGTATACTGACGAAAATAATTTTATACGATAATACTTAGCAAAAATTAAATTATAAACGAGTCTCTTTTGAAACATAAAATATTACAGTGTAGGGCCATTAAGCGGCGGGCCAGTAATCCGCGAATTCGCTTAAGCCGCGCAAAAAGCTTGTATCCCAATTTTTTGACACTATGGATCGTACGGACCTGGACATGGCCTCTCAAACACTCGAGACAGGTGTTGACAGCTGTCATTTTGGCATTTCGAATGTCCGTGGTTGACGTGATATGCACTATCGCGGATTAAATATTGAAATGCTGGCGTATAACTTCAAAGAGGTATTTATAGAAGATTAGTCTTTTATTTATCAATAAACTATAAAATAACTTACAATGAAATTCAAATACAGTATTAATCTGTTTTATCCACGCTGATTGTCAGCGTTATGGAGGCCGCCATTGTAATCGATTCACACCTTACAATGCTACAAAGTTAATCCGCGGTAAATCAGCAAAAAATCGACTCGTATTTAAAGTACAGTATTGTTATTCTTAAATAATAATTTATTATTAATTTCAAGACCATTAATCAAAAAACATTTATTTTTTTCATTATTTATTGTAATTTATGCATTATCAAAAAATATTTAAGCCGCGGTTAAGCAGTTTGGACCCCAATCACCGCAGCTTAATGGCCCTACACTGTAATTATATGGGAATTTTAAGAAGAGAAAAATTATCGTTGCGAACACCCTCTTGTAAAAAAGAAATACATCTAAAATTATTGGATTAATTAAACATTTATAAAGTTGTTAAAAGATTTCTGCATTTATCTAAAGTTTTATCTTTAACTCCAAGTTATATAAAGAATGAAACTATTTTAACGGACACTATAAAACAATATCATAAGAATAAAATTTAACTGACTGAATTAAATATCATTCTAAACTTAATTTCCAAAGAAAAATTTAAATAATTAAAATTTTAAAAAATTACAATTAATTAGATTGTTTTATTTATAGAATAATATTTAACCTATTTAAACTTTTTCAAAGAAAACGTTCAAGGATAATGCTTTTATCTTACACTTTTCCTTCTTATAAAAAAAACCCTTTATATACAGAAAAACTTTTTCTTTAAAAATGTAATTATAAATCCAAAAAGTTGTTACAATTATGAAAATTGGCTTCATAATACAGACGATTTACATAATTAATTGTAATAATTATTTTTTCTTGATACAAAAATAAGAGAATTTTTATAAAATTAATAAATTTAAGATGAGAAAAAAACAAAACGTACAGTACCGTACACAGTAAATTTGATAAATTATCATAACAGTAAAATTAAATTAATTACAATTTATAATATAATTATAATTATTTTAGAAATTAAATTAAACTAACAAATAATAAGCCTATTTTTATATCAATCGTTTGTACAATATATAATTTATTCAGTTATAATTTATTTAACTTTGTGAAATGTTAATCAATATACTTTATTTAAATCGATATTTAATTAATCGATTTAAAAAATTTTTTCATGGTAACACTTTTTTTCTAATTTCAACGAACTAGGAATTTTTTTTTTCTATTTATTTGAAATATTTCATATTTTTCTTAGACATATTTTAGCATAATTTTGACAGCTGCGAGTTCATCTAAATACAGTACTTAATTAATTTTTTTAAGTAAAAAGTTGTTAAATTAATTATTTTATGATAAATAACTATTGTACCAAAGATAAAAGATAAATAAGTAATATGTTATTGTTAATTTAATTAAATTTTATAAAATAAATTTTTAACTTTTTATTGTTTTATGTAAAAATTATTTAAAAAATCTAATGATAAGTTCAATAATAAAGCCTTATATATTCTTAAGAAAACTCAATTTTTAAAACAAAATAATCTTATGAACTAAAAAGTACTGATTTTTGATGAATAATATAATTTTTAGATATTGGATAATAAATGAGGATCTTTTATTATCTTTTCATTTTAAAGTGGATTTTTGTACTATCGGTAAGTTTTTAAATGTATTAATCAAGATTTAATTAAAATAAAATGTTAAAATACTTAAAATCTTTTAAATTTCTAGTTTGCTCAAACCACAGAAATGACAGGTAAGTTATTAAGAAACTAATATATTGAAAGAAATATAAGTTTATATTATATTTTAGAAATATATATTTACAGTCGTAGCCCCTTCTAGCGCGTGTGGTTTTAGTGATAGAGCGGGAAATTTAATTTCCTGTTTTTTTGATATGGATTATCCGTCAACGCACTTATCGTCTTATAATTGGAGACTCGGTCGAGGAAGAGAAGCTTATTGGTATGGCGGTCCAACAACAGATGCTAGTGGCTCCGTTAAAGGTACGAATGCATTTTGGCATAAAAATGTTCGCAAGAACACCTGGTACAGAATAGCTTATTGGGACTATAAATTAGACATTTTGTGTTTATATAATATTAGTCTTTTTAATTAATAATTCAATATAATTATTGTCATTTAAGTTTAATATACAATTTTCGTTTGGTAGGTGGCTACGCATTTATTGATATATCCATTATGGGAAGACGAAAGAGCAATCAAACTAAAAAAGCTTGGTTGCCAAGTTTTAGTAATCCTCCAACAACTGGAAGAGGTAAATGTTTGAGATTTAGATATAATTTGGAAGGGTTATGTGTAGGCGGATTGAGGGTAGTGATTTACGACACAGTCGATAATAAATCCTACACTATTTGGGAAATGTTAGACACTACCGATGGCCAATGGACAAATGGAAAAGTTTCTTTTACCAGGGAAAACTCGTATCGAGTAAGATTTTCTTCTTTGTAATAATTTATAAATGTATAATTTTGATTGCTTTATGATATATACGATTACATTAAATAGATAGTATTCGAGACTTTTCCAAAAGACGATAATCTGAATCGACGAGGTTTTGCAGCTATAGATAATATCGCTTTATACGATGGTCCCTGTCCAGGTTACTATTCTTATTATTTTGAAATATTACTAGTTTAATAATTGAAAATGACGTTTAACTTTTAATACTAATTCTAGGAGATTGCACTTTCGAATATGATTTTTGTGACTGGACAAATGTCAATAGTGGAGACGATTTTGATTGGAAGATGGGAAGAGGAAGTGATAGTACTGTTACAGGTCCCGAAAGAGATCATGGTAGTAGTATCACAAAAGGAAGAACTGGTCGGAATCTTTTATAAAATGTTTGAAAATTTAAGATAAAAATATTTACAAATTTTATTTTTATTAATTAGGAGGATATGCGTATATAGATTCATCTTATCCAAGAAGACCAGGAGATACTGCCCAACTTTGGAGCCCTACTCTAAATCCAACAGGTTAATATGTTTTATTTTATTTTAGTTTTATTATTAATTATATATTTATCCTAAATAATTCTATTAATTATTTCGTTAAAAGTACTTGTTTTAAAACAGCATGCGTTTTGAAATTAAATTGGCTCTTTCAAATGTGTAAATTAATAATTTTATCAAACGAAAAGAAAGATTATTGTTGAAGTTTTAGAAATGATTTTTTATTTTAAAAAGTTTAAAAACATGTTATCAAGGTACCTTATATGTAACTTATTTACGAAATTAATATTTTGCGGAAACGGGTTGCAACTAGATTTAGTTGTAATCAGTTTCTGCAAAATATTAATTTCGTAAATAACTTACTGTATGTTATCAGCAATGAGAATTTTAGGCAATAGCTTTCAAATGCATTAAATTTCAAAACGCATTCTAATATCAATATAACATTAAAATGAAATGTTTCGTTGGTGCATCAATATAATTTTCTCGTGCTTTACTAATAAATAACTTAAGGCTAATTATAATATTTATTGAATTGTTTAAATTTTATTTTAATTAGGAGATCACGGCCCTATGTGTCTCAGCTTTTTCACTTCGATGTTTGGTGCCGGAATAGGAGGCTTGCGTATATATCTTTACGATTCGCTCCAAAAACAAATTAGCGACGCTGTTTGGAGCCTAAATTCGGGCAGTCTAACAGCCGATCAATGGCACAAAGGAGAAGTAACATTATCTTTGCCAGCTCCCTATTGGGTAATTTGCTCTTTTTATGTAAATATTCGAATTTTATATATATACGACATTTACAATATAAGATATATATACTCCAAAAATTTCTTATTACAAGGCAGATGATAAAAACAGCTAGTGTTCACGGAATATGTTCTGTATACGCATTGATATATATGCAAACTAGATATTTAATTATATACAGTGAAAGATAACATGAGCATCATCATCATTTATACAACACTTTCATTTTTCTCTAAATGTATACTTATTGCTTTAAAAACAATGATGAGCGACTATTTCTAGATGAGAGACGCAAAAGAATTCGTAGGCTTCCGACGGGCCACATACAATTTATTTATTTATTTACAGAGTTGTTGGCTTTGAGCTTGCTGAGTACCAACATACTCCACAACCGCAGAACACTAGCTACTAAAACAATATATGCTAATGATACACAAACTAGTAATATATAGTTTACTCTCATGTTTTCACTGGTCAAGTATAGCTTGAATGTTCTTCATCACCAATATCAGCTTAATTAGGGTTCCATAATGGCACGAGACAAAACTGGAAAATAAATGTAATTTTATTATTTTGTAAACGTATTAAAAATTAAATGTTTACTAAATTTAACAGGTAATTTTTGAAGCCGAAGTTAGAATCCCGGGTCAGGGTGATATTGCCTTAGATGATGTTTCTCTTGTTGATGGAACGTGTCCAAGTGAGTTCAAATTGATTGTTGCTAAATATTGTGCTTTGATGGTTATAAAGTTCTTTTTTTGTTTATATTTTACATGAATAATAAGTAGTAAAAACATTTTAAACACTTATATTTCTTACATTTAGGTGTTCCTCGAGAAGCTAGCAGAAAAGGTAAACGTATTTGTAATTAATTTCATTGCATTCATCGAAATTTTGATTTTCAATTTATTNTCATTAAAAAAAAAAAAAAAAAAAAAACAAATATGCGCACCAAAGTTGTGCAGAGACTTAGTTTACAAATCTACATCGCATTGAAATATATTAAACTACATGAAAATTTAATTTAGGAAAAAGCAATTAACACAAATACAAACAACAAACACTATAATAAATTTCAAACAGGAATTAGAGTGTTTGACAATAAACAATTCAATAAAAAATTTACTGTTTAAATTTCTTTAGTTTTTCAATTAAAAATTTAGTTTTCTAAACTTTATTTATTTTACATCAATATATTATAAAATTTGCACTAAAATAAATATCAAATAAAATAAGTTCTCATAAGAAACAATAAAAGAAAATCAAAACACAGTATAATGATATTTACTTGAAAAGAGTAAACAATAGAATGACACATTCCGGATATGTCATATCCCTAACAAAGCCTGTTGGGTGGAAGGTGAATAGTTTAGATGAAAATAACCTTATCTCCTGCGGAAACTGATAAATGTATCTCCAGTTTTAATTCTCATCAACTGTTTAGTTAAGAAGAAAATGTAATATTTAGTTTTATTTCATTTTAAATGAAAAATTGAAGAATTATTGTCGAAAATATTAATCAAAAGTATACAATCAATATAAAGATATTTTAAAAATTCATTAATTTTTTTCTATTATTTTACATTTTGGTTGTTATACAAAATTTTATACGATTGAATAGATGAAAAGAATTACTAAAATATAATTTTTAGTCAATATTATTACATAATTACATATTCTAGTAAAAACTACAAACTTTTTTAAATTTGACATTGTCTAGAGAGATGTTTCTCTATTATAAATGTGCACATATTTAAATAAAATAAGTAAAAAAGGTTCTGTATAAATTTTCTGCGTGTTAATTTTTTTGTTAATGAATTAATTAAAACTCTTTCTGTTTTAAAAGGTTAGTGAAATTAAGTTAATATATCCACAATTCAAAGTTTATCCTACGAATACTGTTTATTAGCTAGCATTTAAAATATTTGCAGAATGAATACAAATTATTTTTTTATCAACTTAATGTCTTCGGAAGAGCAATAAAATTATGTTTAATACTTGAAGTTTTAAAATGATCAATAATAACGAGCAGAAACTTTTATATTAATGTATCATTTATTTATTCAGCTTGAACTATATTTTTAATAGCTATATTAAGAAGCAATGCTTTTAAGTACTTATAAATTATAAAATATACTGTATTAAGCTAAATATAAGTATTTTATATTTATTTAAAATATTTCATAAGAAATATTTAAAAATAAATAATTTATAAATTTTATAGATCTATGAATGCAAAAAATGTATTTCAATAACGAAGAAAGTTTCAAAAATTTTGTTATAATTTTAAGATGTCATATCACAAAAGCTAAAAAATAAAAATAATCATTTTTAGGTGACTGTGCGTTTTTGGTTGATATGTGCGGTTGGCAAGAAATTTATGAAAAGTTAAGAGAGAACAGTCCACCTCTTTGGATGAGAGTTTCTGGTGATGGAACTCATCTTAATCCTCGAGGACATACTTATACAATGACGAGAGCGGGTAGATTAGGTAATTGATTTCCTTGTAATCCGTGTAAATGAAGATAATACAAAAAGTTTATTTTTGTTATTATTGTAATTTATCCCACTTTTATTTTATTGTAGATTTTTATATGAAGTTTGACACAAGTAATTTTCAACACGCTTCATTGGACAGAGGAATGCTAATCAGTCCAGTTTTAGAAACTACTAATTTACCTTACTGTTTGTCGTTTTGGGCATTTTTGTTATCTTCGACAGCTGGAGAACCCATCGGCGGTATTCTAGTAAAACTAATTCGAAGCGACAATACATCTTCCATTTTATGGAGATTAAATAATCATCAAGATTCGAGATGGTTCTATGCACAGATCGGGTTACCACAAGAAGTTAATTCCAGGGTAAAATTTTATTTTTAAATATGTAATCTTAAATTATTGCATCTAACAAGTAAACATTCAATTATAGATATAACTTTTAGTATATTCAATTCTCGTTTTGGTAATACCAGTATCTGCTGTTCTACAATAGATCGTCATAGATATATTATTTTATTGAAATTTATCAGATAAATTAAAATATGCATTTTAAATAATACATTTTGCTGTAATTAAAATTTGGCCTTAATAAATTAGGTAAAAGCAATAAATTAGGTTAATTCAAGCAATTTAATGCCTTTATTGAAGTTATTAATAATTATTATAAAACGGCAAAATACTTAATTTTCAGGGTAGTAAGTTTAATAAAAACTTGTAAATACTAATAACGTGTAAAATGATCTTTAAGTCCGACTACCCTCAAAATATGACAGACGAGCCCCATTCATCTTCCCAATCTCTCGACCTTAACCACCAAAATTTAATAGTATTAATCCTCCTAATATATAAACATCCATGCAAAACTTCAGAAATTTTCCACAAAAACACAGCAGCTGTTAACCTTCAAACTGGGTGAACAAAATCGTGCTCCCACACACACTAATATCCATGCATACAGAAAAAAACCCCCGAATTTTTTAATTTCTGGGCATTTCAAGGTCCTTGAATCCAAAAATGTAAAAATCTTGGGTGGTCATTTTTTGACTGATCATGTGATTAATAATATTAGCCTTCAAATTTCTTAAAAATTCATAATATCAACCAAGTTTAAATTAAAATGAGATTTATAGCCAGTACAGATTACATATTTATAGAAGTTTATTGAAGAACTAAATATGATTGTCCACATTTTAACAGGTTGCCATTGAAGCAATTAAAGGAGCAGAATCCAGATCAGTAATAGCGATAGATGATATAACTTTCACAACCCCTTTTAAATGTATTGGTACGTACAAATTTTCACAATGTTTTATAAAATTTTTAAATGATTTACTTACAGTACTTTGATACCTTGTGCATACTATAGGAAAACCAACAAGAGCTCTTACAGCTTTAGGTAAGAATATTTCAGTTAAAACTGCAATTATTTACAAATTTGTTAATAACAACACGTTTCTCTATTGTGCTAATTGAAATAGGTGACTGCGCATTTGATGTAGATTTATGTGATTGGAAATCCGTTACATTTACCTCTAGTTCTCCAAAATGGCGAGTTCCGAGTGGTCAAGCACGTCCAGCAACAGTTAAAGATCATACTTTTAACGTTCCTGGAGGTAATTAAATATAAGTTTTTAACTTTATATATGTATTTATATATCTATCCGGTTAATAAAGTGAGATAGATTTCTATTAGAGTGGTTCAAGTTTTTTCTCTAGACAATCCTGTAATTTTTTCTCCGGGTAAATTTTTCAATTTCTTCGTTTGAACATAAAAATGTATATTTGTTCTTTTTTCACTTTTAGCCGGGTTTGTTTATATCGACGTCTTCACTCTACCTACAGCAGCAACAGCAGAACTGCATAGTCCCACGATGGATGGGAATAAATCTCGATGTTTTACATTTTGGTACGCGACTATTGACGAAGAAGAAGGAGCAACACTCAGCATTTATGTTAAAAGCAATAATACTTCAAATATCGTTTGGAGTTTTGTAAGGGATGCTGAAGAAGAAAATTCTCCATCTTCTTTTTCATTTGGTCAAGTGGAAGTATTCAGTGAAGATGATTTCACTGTAAGCAAATTAATACTTTACAATATTTATAAGTGAAAAATTAACAAAATTCTATACATAAATAAATATTTGAATGTAATCAATGGTTTGAATATTTAATGCAATATAATATATATGCATATGTTATATTGCATTAAATTACTCATATAATAACCACGAATGAAAATCATTTTTAACACAAAATAACTCGCTAAACCTGTCAACGTACACTATAATTATATTATTTAGCAAGGAGAAGTACAGTATATTATTACTTATTACAAGAATTCTGTGATTTTATTGAATTTTAATACTGTAGCCAACAATTATAAATTTCAAATACATTTATCAATAATTTAAAATTAAGTAAATATATTTTTTTTAAAATTGGTTTAAAATTTCATTTTAAAAAAGTCTATAAGTTAGTCGAGTCCCACTATTGCTCAAATTTATTCCTGCAATAGTAAATTTTAAAATGTATAATAAAACAGATACCGGTACTCGACTTAATTGACTGTGCTTTATTTTCTCAAAATTTTGAAATAAAGCTCTACGAAGGTTTATGGACTGAAAATGATTGACAAATGAACGTTGAACGAAGAAAATTGAATAATGCTTATCGAAAATTAAGGAAAAACAATTTTAATACATTAATTTCATAATACTTTTGCTAATTAAATGGTTCAAATTAATACTGATTAATTTACACAAAAATAGTGTACACATTAGATGATCAACTAATTAACATAATAAAAAATACAAATAAAATTGTTATTTAAAAAATTTTAAATTTGAAATGAAAATAATTATTCTGTATATTAAAAGGTAAACTCAAAACATATAATTCGATTTACTACTACTAATATTAAATCATATATTGAATACAATGAAACTTACGAGTTTATTTTATATGATATAATTCATACAAATATATACATAGCAAACAATTTAATCAAAATATATTTGAGTAAATTAATATATATATAATTTCTGTGCATATGATTTGCGCTGTTATATATATTTATATGTAATTTATTCAAATAGAAGAATATGTATAGGATATAAATATAGTTTTTCCTAGCCACATGATTTTAATTTATTTAGTTTATAAATCCAGTTATACATTATGATCTGAACACTAATCATATTTTATATTTTGAAACAAATAACTAATAAAAATATATTATTCTAATGTTTCAATAATAATAGTCAAGCTTTTTAATTTTGAAATTTTCATACAATTAAAAATATCATAATATAGACTTTGTAATAATCTATACTGTATATATAAAATTGAATTTGTGTCTATCTGTTCGAGTACCATGGGTAAATAGCTGAACCGGTTTATATGAATTCGTACAGTACATGTGTACTATACGTCTGTAGATAAATATATACTCCACTGAACATTACCATTGCCATTTTCATCCGCGTTAGATTGTCAGCGAGTCCCAGAACTTCTTTCAATGAAAAATTGTTTTTAGTCGAATCCATTATAAGTTTATCATATTTTTTCCCCGTATATACATTTTTATATGAGTCCATTACCTTTACTTAATACATCATTTTTCCGAGCGAAGCCGGCTACCTCGGCTAATAAATAATATCGATAAAAAAAATAATTTTAGAATAAGATAATTGACTAATGACTAAAATGACAATTTGGTTCTAGGTCGTTATTGGGGCAACAGTGCAGCATTCTGGATTTGTTATTGATGACATTCGATTTTATGAAATGGATACATCATGTCCTAGTAAGTTCATAGTTTTAAATACATATGTAGAAAAATTGTTTAAATTCTTATTATATTTAAATATTTCATTCGCAGCACGTCCTCCTTATTTCGCTCCAACAGTTCAACCTAATAATTTGCCAACTACTTAACTTTTGATGCTGTGCCATTCTCTGGCATAAAATCTACGGGTTGCCAAACTAATCTTTTCAGAGGTCATCAATGGATTTTTCGTCTAGTCATGTATATTATTTAATGAATCGCATTTTAACATCATTAACTTTGTAATGTTTATTTAAAATTGTAAATCATTTTTTTAAATGTTTATAGAAGGAATACTGAGAATAAAGTTTTACATGAAATGCAGATTATATAACTTTTTATAATTACATTAATTTCTTGGAATATTCATTAAAAGATAGACTATTAGATTTATTTAAAGATATTAAGAAATGATATTAAATTTCAAATCAAGATTTTTGGTTTAATCATTTTAAAGACAAGTTGATAAATTTAAAAAATGGGAGAAGTGAGACACAATATTATCGATGAAATAAAATAAGATATAAAGAATAAACTAATTTTTTACCTAAATTTATTCTGTATGCTTTCCTGTTTTTTTTTCTTTCGATAGTGCAAATCATTTCATCAACAAACTCGAAAACATGTAGAAAATTTTTTGGATCATATGAGGCTGTCAGAAAAAGAATGAGACTGTAACTATAACTTACCAACGTGCTAGTCAGTATTAAAGTTGCTTAGTACTTGATTGCTTACTGTTCTCTCAATTAGTTGTATGTCGTTCGGAATTAGCACAAAGTTACTGTTGAGAACAAATCACACATGAACACTCTTTTCGGATGGAAAAAGTAGGTTTATTTTCTATTAATATAATGTAGAAAGGATATGAATGTGCATTTCGGGCTTTATGTCCTTTTTCAGTCCTTATTTTATTAAATATATCGGCAAAAAACTATGTAAGAAATTATAGAATGTATTAAATTATATTTAACATGCGCGTACAAAATTTTTTTTCAAAAAATATAATTACCTAAAAATTACTATAGTGATAGCTGGAATAACTAATTATTAAAACCGTGGGGTAAAATAAGTAAAATTGAAATAATAAAAGAATAAGAAGATGAAAAAGTAATAAAATGCTATTAAAATAATATGACAATATACCTGTAGAAATAAAATTATTTTTGTTAAAACGTATAAAATGTTTTATGGGCTAGTACAAATAAAACTGAAATACCTTGTATATTAGAAAATAAGTTAATAAATAAATAAATAAAATGTTGTAAAAATAATAAGAAGGTATACCTGTAAAAATAAATATATTTTCGTTAAAATGTATTTAAAATTTGACTAAACACGGTAGTAAAACATAAAAACCTTAAAACCAATTAAAACTGGTAAAAAATAAGATGTAACTTAATCTGTAAACATACAGATTCACTGTATGTTTATCAGAAAGTCTAATATTTTGTACGATACAGTGAATTAAAAAGGGGTGGAGAAATGGGAGGAAAAACATCTTAAAATAGACTTTTCTATCAATATTTTGGTAGTAATGGCTGCTAGATCTCACTGATGACAACGTCAATGTTTAAATTCATTCTGTGACATTCGTTTATTTTAATAATTTCAATATGTTTAAAAAGCTTTCTTTCACAACATTATCAGAAAATGAATTTATTAAATATTATCTTCTTTGTAATATTTAAGTGTATTAATAGTATTGAAAAAACTTTTGAAAAACATAAATAAATAATTTAATAATAAAGTACCTATTTCACTATTCACTATTTAACTATTTCAGATTAACTTCGTTACGATAACTTCAACATAATTTCAGCGTAAGTATACCATTAATTCAGCATAATTTCATGATAACGTCACGATTATCTCAGCATAATTTTCGCATAACTTTCAGCATAATTGTACAATAACTTCTGTATAACATTAGCAAAACATTAAGCCTAACTATAGCATATATTTATCAAAACATTCGACACAAGTTTCGCATAACGTCAGCATTACTTTAGCAGGACTGTACCATTACTTCAGTATAACTTTAGAAGAAAAGCTGCTCTTCCACAAGCAATCAATACTGCTTTATGCTCTATAAATCGTGTAAGCTGTCATTGATACTTTTACATTTAAATCTTGTTTATTAGTGAGGTTGAAGCCAAAGTTTTAAACGCGAAAGCGTGTACGTCGGACGTTTAGCGCCGCTTTCCTATAAGTTTAGAAGGTTGACATTGGTGTTTGGATAGTCAGTGGAATCAAGCTTAACATTCCAAACACTATTGTTAAACTTCTAGACTTACAGGAATGCGTCACTGAACGTTCGACGTACATGTTTTCTTGTTTAAAACTTTCGGCCTCAACCTTGCTATTATTTCCCTGTTTATGGTGCACATTTTTAATTAAAATATTTGGATTCTGCAACTGTCTGGAACAGTATGTTTTTAACTTAACCATAAGTTCAGCATAAGTTTACCATAACTTCAGCATAGGTTCACTATAACTTCAGCATAGGTTCAGCATAGGTTTACCACAGGTTAACCATAACTTCACGAGCAAGGCAATGCTAACAAAACCGTACTGTAAACAAAAAAATTTATACTCACAACTAATATACTTCTATTTATTTATCTTCCTTCTCTCTTCTAACAAGAACATGATTCTGCAACATCTTTAGTAACTATATCTTGTTTTATTTTACTTGACTTTTTTCTCGTACTTTTAACATAAGTTTGTTCTTTCTTCCTCTTTGAATTTTCATTTTTCTTGTTGATTGCTTTCGTGGCTGATGGAACAATTTCTGGCTCTTTCCATATTGGTATGCGACCCGCTCCTGGATAAACGTTACTCAAACGCTGAAGAAATGAATCGAAAAGTTCTGCTGGTTTCAGTTTTTCCTATCTCACAATCTTCTTGTACGGTACATAAAGGTATATAAATACGAATCAGTTATATCTTCAGTGTAAATGGGTTCTATCTGTTTTTCAAACAACGCCAACAACATCTTTCAATTCTTTGCATATGGGCGCCCGTAACTGGATAAACGAAATTTTCTGCGTGTTTCAGTTTGATGTTTAAGCTTCAAAGAGAATGAATAAAATCATGCTCCTCCCACACAAACACAAACATACAGAAAAACCTTAGCATTTCTTTCTAGCATTTTTCGACGTTTCAAAGTCTCGAGTCTAAAAATTTTAAAATCTTAGGGGGCCATTTTTTTGACCAATCGCCGATTGTGATACAGAGATCTTATTGGTGCATAGCAGTGGCGTGCCGTGACATTTGATGATAGGAAAGCTGTGTTTCTGTAAGAAGCCAACTTACAGGGGCAATTAGTTAATGCTTTTCAGGGTTCATTCGTATTCATTTATTCGATAAGCCAGTAAAAACCGTATTTCGTAGAACGTACACTTCTTTATACGTATTTTTAATAGATTATCTGACGTACTTAATAAATAAACAAGTTCAATATAATTACATCTGTTATTAGATTCAATAGATTTCCTATGTCCTCTAAATTCCAATTTTTGTTTTGAAAAAAAAAACATAACATCTATTAATTTAGACATAATATATCTATTAGCCGTAATTATCTTGTTATAATTTTCAATATTTATTTTATATTGTTTACTAATGTTAATTTCTATTCTGCTTTGATTTCCAAATTGCTTCAATTTTACGAAAGAATCTATATAACATTTACGATTTTCGTGTCTTGCCAGCTTTACTCAAATTGTTTAAATTGTCAAAGCCATTCTTATTCCACACACTAATTTCATTTGAAAATAGTAGGCAAGGCCAACAAAACAATTTTTGCATTTTTATGCATCACGTAAAATGTGCATTTTTATGCACAAAGCCATTTTACATCTTCATAAATTTTATCGTGAAAGTGTCTAATAAATTTTTTTGTTGATGTATTTATATTTCATTTAGGCATTGGTCTTTCTCTTTTAATAGTGTTTTCTTTCTCATTATATGGTCTCCAGCCAAAACTTTTTTGAAATAAATTATCAATATCACAATTACATTCTGAATCGCTAGCCATAATATAAGGGCTAAAATTAAAAATAAAATTATAAAAACTTGTTAAAATAAAATGTGTGATGGATATACAATTATACATACCTGGTACAAAATATTCAATTGTATGAATATACTTTTAAAGAAAATTATAATTAAATATAGTTTTGTGAAGAAACGTACATAAAAATAACATAAAATATTTTATACTTTTTAAATATTAAAACAATCCACTTAGTTAAAATTGCTCCCTACAAGTGGCTAATGAATGGAATCAGAGACGGTCTTGGTAGGTGTGCAGTGCGTGCATGCGTGCCAAATCCCGAGGGTGCCGATACCGGTTAATGTCAAATGCCTGTTTTGTGGCATCACTGATATATCTGAAAGGACGCGACAGGGATGTTGTAGATTTTAAACGTTTCTCACCATAGCTGTAAAAATCTACATATGTTAAATTTAATAGTCATTTGTTTTCTAATTAATTCGTTTTAGGACCAGGTGTCCACGGAAATTTCCAAAATTTACAACTTTTTAGTCACTCTCATTGAACTGGAAAAATTTTTTTGTACCTTGTGCATCTCATTTATTAAATTTATTTGTAAATGATGCTGCCAAAGTAATAGTTAATTTTTTAACATTATACAAGAATTGTAGGTTAGATGTACCTTAGGTAGCCAAAATGGCCGCGCTTCCGACCGTTCGTGGTCCAGACGGACTCCTCCGGAGGGTAGCCACAGGCAGGCCGCCGAGTGCCAAACGTCATTAGTTATTGTAGTTATTGATTCACGGTAGTTCTTGAACAAAATAAAAAAAATAAATAAAAAAGGAAACGTCTTCTAAAAATGTAGCTAATCTAACGGAAACTAAACGAACCTAATCGAAGCACTGCCATTTTGGCTACCTAAGGTAAATTTAACCGAAATCCGTAAGTAATGTAAGATGAACCAGCAGAATAATTATATCAAATATTTTAATGGATTTTTTAAAACTCCTGTCAACTATACAGAACTATTATAAAAACATACTAGTAAATTCCTATCGTTAGGTTAAGTTATAAATCTATTCATGATTCACATAATGGGGAGAGGGCGGCCAAATATCTAGCAGGCAGGCGGCTAACAGCCCAGAACCGGTCCTGGATAGAATCATTGGAAGCGTTATACAATATTTTGGTGTGTAGCTTGCACTAGCTAAACCGGGTGAGGTTGGTGCTCTGTAAAGCGCATGCCCGAATGCGTATAATCTGGCTGCTTGGAAGCTGACCCGGTTTCGACAATACAGCGCTTCCATTCCGCCACTGATATTCGAATGTACAATAGAAACTTTATCGTTTTTTTCACATGTATAGAAATTTGTAATAAGATACATAATGCGGTTATAATATAATATTAATTTTAATTAACTCAAAGTGCGTTAAAATATGAAAATAATCGCGTAATGTGTATTTAAATTTAGAAAATACAAGGGAAGTGGCGCTTTTACCGCTTCCGTGGACGGCACGCCACTGCTTACGAGTATCCAAAAGTATAAAATGATAAAAATTTGGGCAATGATTTGAGCTTTTTTTAATCCTAATTTACAAACGTTTTTATTCTAATTTGCTTTCTTGAATCTTTTTTTTTTTTCTTTAAACTCCGCCCTGTGGGTACTAAGAGGGCCTCTTTTAGCAAGCCTATTATGAATTAGGCCAGACCCACAATGGGACGACCGGGAGGTGAGGGACGGGGCCCGACATATCCAGACGGATCATCCTCGAAAAATTCCTTGGGATTTTTCGACTCGTCCGGATTCCGATCCCGGGTCCCAGAATGGTAGGCTGTCACCTTGTCCGCTGAGTTATCCGGCCTTTGCAAAATGGTTAAATAGGATGTAATCTTTTAAATAATAATTAAAAAAATCTATAACTTTTATGTAAAACAAATTACAATACAAATAAATATCGAATATATATTTTTTCTATTTCCATTTATACGGAAGTGGTAGATTATTTATTTTTAACTTGATATACTGTACTTTTAATTTCATGACCAATATTAATAGTTTTTCGTCTAGAATTGTGTGGTGGCGCTTGTAACATGAACTCGTTTCATTCGATGCTTCAAACGTTTTGAAATTTTGCATTATTTTCAATATGTAAAGTGATAAATATTATTTTTCTAGTTAGAATAGCCATGACAGTTTACGGAATCTAGTAATAATTATTTATGCGTTTATGAGGTTTCTAAAATTTGCTAATATGCATATTTTCATTATGTTTACGTAAATCTTCATTATCCATAAGTCGGAAGTAATAAAGAAATGCTTTACAGAAGATGAGAAAATCAGCCAGAAAAAGCAAGTCAAGAACAAAAAGAAAATTGGAGGCTGATCCGAATAAGACATTAGTTAAAATTGCTAATAGATTAAAAGATCCATTACAAGAACTTTGCTGTGAGTCTAAATACACAGAAAATAATCTTAATTTAAGTATTGTTAGTATGCCTTCTTCTCATTTAGATGAAACCACAATTCAATGGGCTTTTCAGTTAACGAAGACTAACATGAAAACTTTATATGAAACTTGTGAATGGGGCTGGGATGATGATGATAAACTATCTCAGCTGAAACATCGCACAGCTAGATTTTTAATTGTCAAAGATGAAAATAACCATCCAAAAGCTTTTGTTCATTTTCGGTTTGATATGGATTTTGGTGATCCTGTAGTATATTGTTACGAAATACAAATAGAAACAGACATACAAAGGAAAGGTGTTGGAAAACATTTAATAAATTTATTATGCAAAATTGGAGCTATGACCGAAATGAAAAAAGTTGTCCTAACTGTTTTGAAACATAATAAATTGGCATATAATTTTTATACAAGAATTTGTGGATTTAAAATTGATGCATCATCACCAGATAAAACAGAAGAAGCTTGTTATGAAATTCTAAGTAAAGAATGTGAGTTTGGATGCAGTGTTACTAAAAGGTTTCCTAAAAATGCAATCTAATGCACAGTGCCGTAACTAGTCATTCCTGTGCCCTGTGCAGGAATTTGCATTTAGGCCCCTTAATTAATTAGGTTTGGGAAAGTAATAAAACAAATACATGCATTTTGGGCCCCTCTTCCAAGTGGGCCCCGTGCGGGTGCACCTGTTGCACCTGTCTAGTTACGGCACTGCTAATGCATACAAATAAATCAGTAAAAATTATGCAATTTTGAAATATGATATTTTAAAAAAGTCTCAAAATGATTTTCATGAAATAGTTTATGTACTGTATGTATACAGTATATGTAGAGTTTGGGTGTAAAAGACAGTAAGCACCAAAATGGAAGTTAGGAGAAAATTAATAAATTAAATCCCATAAGATTTTTTATTTGGTTACTTTAATCAGAATAAAGTGCAGGTTATAGCTAAAAAGTGCATAAAATATTTAAATTGAAGTACATTGCTTTTAGCGATTAACATGAATTGCAGCATACTAATAAAAATGGCATTGCCAATTTTTATACCAAATCCTTTATATATTGAAATATGAAATAAGAGTTAATAGGAATAATTTATTTTGAATAGGAAATGGAACATTTAGATTAATTCATCATTATTTTAAAAAGTATTACAATATTAAATTTGAATATTAATGACAACTCTTGTATCAACTTATTCATTTAAGACTGCATTTTCAGAATTTGAATTTTCATTATCTTAGCACTTTTGTTAGAACCTAAAAGTGCTAAGCTGATAAAGATACAAACTGAAAAAGCAGTTTTGAAAGTAGTCAAATTAATAAGTTATATATGATGATATTTGACAAAAACCTACATCAGGAGATTCTGTTCAGCTGAACCCATGGAATAAAAAATAAGTTAGCATTGAGTAATATGTATCTATTAATAAAAAACATTTAAGTGCTTTTTATCAATAAACTTTCAAATATTTAATAAGATAAATTGAATATTTGTATTAAATAATGATAAGTAGTGAGATATAATGCTGCCTTAATGTGTATGTACTAAAAACAAATGTTACATCAGGGCAAATATCAAGAAAATAATCTAAAATGGCCTTTTGATTTCATACTTAACAGTAGGAACAATATAATGATAGATTAAATTAGAGCATAAATTCCTGAAGTTATCAGCTTAAATAACAATGACTGAAATGAACAGATGTTCAATAACTATATGCAAAGTTTTCCAGCTGTATATCTATTGAACCTCAACTTTAAATTTAAAATATGTTTTAAGTTCTCTCTAACCCTTAACTAATATGCTAATGTTTTTTCTTTTAAGTAACATGGTGTGGACTCACAGACTGTTTATTTTAATTTGTATTTAGAATTACAATATTGGTAGTTAAAAGGGTTTATTCAATTTAAAAGATGATAATATACATTAGTAAACTAAGAAATGAGTTTTATTTCTTTTGTTATTGATTAAACTGAATTTTTCTCTAATGTCAGAATCATTAATTCTTTTTCCTTCATGAATATGTATTGTTTATACAAAGTAAATTATTTTTGTGCCTTAATTGTCTCTGCACAGTCTGCATATATTTTTTGGCCTAGTAAGGCATACTCGTGTGTTAGTAACAATGTTATTACTTAACAACTTAACATGAAAAATCTAGTAATGTCACTTACATGCAGCAGTCTCGAAGACCATTTGTGAGAACAAACTGGAATAAAATGAAAATGACCTTTATTCAATGTTGTGTTGTCTTCAAATTGAAGACAACACAACATAGAATATTAGGCAATATTATTCTATGATATTTAAAAAAAAACAAAAGAAAACTACAACAGAATATCTTACTCATTGCTTTTAAACTAGCAGAATGTAAATTCATTTAAAGATAAAAAGAGGGACAATTTTCTCAACTAACAGAAAGTTCTATAACTTTTATAGAAAAATTAAATTCCTTAACAGTCTAAAACCAGTCCATGTTACTTGAAGGTTAAAACAATTTTTTAATTTTTAATTAAAAAAATATATATATATAATTTTTTTTTACTTATATTTTAAGCAATAACAAATAATACATAATTAAGTAACTTTTTTTGCATTTTTAAAAGAATTATTTCCTGTATATTTGGTAACAATATATTTAGTTTTTAAGAAGTGCTCATTGCTTCAGATTGAATAATAATTGTCATTAAACAAATCCAACTATAAAATATATTTTCAGTGTGTTTACATTATACTATATTTTAAAAAGTATAGTGTAGCATATGTAAGATTTTGTAAACAATGTTATAAAAATCATTGTATCATTATTCTATAAGGAAATATTTTTTTAAAAATTATATTAAACTTATTTGCAGAAAAATATTTAAATTTTATTATATATTTATAATGAACTTTATTTAATGAAATTAATAAACCAAATATTTCAGTTTTATTTAAAAATTTTTTGTGCTTAATATTATTTAATAACATATCTGTTGAAACTTCAACAAACAGTAATTAGTTGTTGATGATGATTCCAAATGTCCAATTATTTTCTAAATATAGTAGCATGTTACTATTTCATTCATTGTTGTAATGTGTATATAATAAAATATTCTAATATGAAGTATTAATATATTAAATAAATTTTATTTTGTAACATAAAAGGTGTCATTATTATTATATATCTTGCATATGAATGCTATTTCATTTCATGAAAAATTTAATGTAGTTTTAATGAATTATACTTTATAGTTATTAAGCATTTTCATCAAATTACCTACTCTATATAACTATATTTGCAGGTAGAGTTACACCTTCCAGTTCACTAAATTCTGAGAACATTCAGGAAATTAGAAAGAGGATCACACAAAAATTTCATTACATATATAAATAACAGGTGTAGGAAAAAACTAATACTAAATATATTCAAATATTATCATTTTACTTTTTTATTTTAATGGAGCAGTTATACATTTGAAGATGACATTTGATCTTTAATTATTTGGTGGTAATGCAGCATATGGTCCAGTATTGCCCATTTTTAGAAAGCATTTCATAGTGTGACCTTATATTGTCTTGATAACAATGGATTCCATTTTGCTCATGCACAGTTAGCTTAATGGCTGCTTAATAAACAACAAAAGATATGCTGACAACATAGTCCTGCTGAGTGAAAGTAAAGAGAGATTACAGAAAATTCTGAATCAACTGTTCAAAACTGGATTGGAGAAATTCCATATGAAAATAAATGAAAAAAAGACAAAAGTAAGGAAGGTTTCAAAGAAGGAAGATATGGATGAATTTCAGATCATGCTGGGAAATAAGGAACTTGAAAGGGTTAAAAAGTTTGAATGTCTGGGAAGCTGGATAACGAGTGATAATAGATGTAAAATGGAAATTAAAAGCAGAATTAATAAAGCAAAAGCTGCCTTTTATCAAATTTATCATATATTAACAAACAGAGGCCTTAACATAAAACTGAAAATAAAGATCCTAAGGACAATGATCTGGAGTGTACTAACATACGGATGCAAGGCATGGACTCTTACACATGAAATGATGAAAAGAATTAACTCATTTGAAATGTGGTGCCTGAGAAAGATGCAAAGAATAAGTTGGACAGAAAAAATAACAAATGAGGAAGTTTTAGGCAGGCTGGGCTTGAGGAGAAGGTTGCTTATAAATATCCAACAAAGAAAGGTATGATATGCTGGACATTTGGCTAGAGGATCAGGAGGACAACTACTAAAGACAGTGATTGGACTGGTTGATTGACAGTGATTGGACAGTGAGGGACTGGTGGAGGGGACAAGACCTAGAGGAAGACCCCGAAAGACTTGGAGAGATAACATCAAAGACTGGACTGGAAAGGATTTAAGAGAAGCCTGGAATAGAGAAACATGGAGAGGAATAGTTCATCAAATGCAACCCTCTGTAGAGAGGATGCCACTGGATAGATAGAACTCGATAATTAAACTTCAGATCAAAAAATGACAACTTTTGATTTGGGTTTTCCACTCTATAAACCTGTGAAATTTGGCCATCATTTCTGCAACACACTGTATCTTCTATGGTTTTGTATGGTGTGGCATAAACAATTATAACAGTAGAACATAAATTTTAAGAGTTAAAGAACTAGTAATATTTAAACAGGAAAAACCATTTCGAAAAAAAAAAAAAACACATTAGCCACCAATCTTCAAACTGTTATAATTATTATTTGTAACTGACCTGCCTCTCTGTTTTATTTGCTCACAAGGAGTTCCGAAAACATTTTTTCTATTTTCTACCTGGTGTTTAAAATAAAATAAATAAAAGTATTTAGGGAGTCTAGCTTTGTTAGACTATGTAGTTTTAGTGGTAAGAGTCACATGTCTGGCCACAAAGAGTCATTGGGATGGGAAGAGAGTCAAAATTAGCAAAAATATTGGGCTATATGGTTTGTGAACATTCTGCTCCATCAGTGCAACAATATGGCTGCTCCCATGTTACCAAATTCTTTATGAGGAGTATGAATTTTCTTTACTTTTGGATGGATAATTATCTCAGACAATTGGACAGTATTGTATATTACTTTTTGGAGTTGCTTTCCCAATATTTTGAAAACATGCACTAATTGTTCAGTAAATCTTTGCTATATTACATCATTTCCTGTGCTCTAAAAGAATGGGTGCTGATACCCAAGTTTATTTACTGAACTTGTTTTTAATTAATCATACCATTCTGAATTCAGGCAGAGTACAAAAAACACTGTAGGTGATGAAGAACAGGGCAGTATCTGGTATAGACAATCTGTGAAAAATTTGTGTTTTATGACAGAATCAAACCTACACTTCTCTACAGCCTCAAGTTGATGCCACTGAATCAGCCATCTGGTGGTCTTAAGTTGTATCATGCTCAGCAGCATTATAGTAGCCAATTATAAATTTTAAAGAAGAATTTTAAATTAAAAAATGTAAAGAAACTACTCAAATTTGTTTGGTAGGAGTCAAGCAAAGGATGACCATTGACCAGGGACTTTTTACATAATATTACATAACTTGAGATAAATTGATTGCTGGTTTGGGGTGGTCTGAACCTGGGAAGTGCACTTAATGCCATGTTGAAGTTTTGTACACAGAGAAAGTGATGAGGTGAGTGGAGTGTTTCTTTTTCCATCTAACCCATGTGATTATGCCAGCTTTGAATAGCACACTTGACTTTTTGTGAAGTACTTGATGTTATATAGTTGGGGGTTTGGAGGCTTGCCTCACCTCCCCTCCTATATAACAACTGCAAATGACAACAAGCACATCAACACATGACTACATGCAGAACAGTGAAAGTGACAGCAATGCTGAGCTTGGAGAATACATCTTGTCCCTCCCACATGTCAATTGATCATAGTAAAAAAAGTACAAAGAATGATAGATTGTGGTTCATACCTGAAGAGTTTATGCAGTAAAAGTTTGCACTTTGTCTGCCAGAAAGCATCACAGTAGTAAAATAAAGTAAAATGGTGACTCCATAGCAGCAAGTGCAAGTGGTAGGGAGGTTTGTGGAAACAGAATTGACAATTACAGTGCAAATAAATTATTGAAGAATGTATGGAGCCAATCTACCTGATGTGAAAACATTTAAGGCATGGGTCTGTAAATTCCTGGCTACTAAAAGTTAGTTAAACAGTCTGTAGGTGCACGTCATAGAATGGATGACATGCACCTACAGACCAAAGAAAAAATGCATGCAACCCAGCATTATCTTTCAGCAGGATGGAGCTCTCCATTGAACTATGGATGTTTGCAAGTTCCTAAATAACAAATTTTATAATCATTTTATTGGATTCGAGGGACCCATTTTCAGGCCACCATGTTTCCCAGATATTACTCTGCTGGATTTCTTTTTGTTGGGGTAAGTGACTGTGTGTATGTGATTAAAGTGGATGACATCCCTATGTTAAAAACTTGCATTTTGATGTGATTGTTACAGTGACAATGGACTTGTTGGAAAGAACTTAGCAAGAAATTGAATACAGGCTTGATCTTGTCTATGCTACAAATGGTTCACATGTAGAGATCAACTAGAGATAAATAAATGTTTTCTCATGTTTTTGTATTTTGTCTAATTTTGTTTTCATATCCTTTGTAGTTTCCTTATTGTGATGTTTTGAAATGTGGCATATTTGAAAGGAACATGCTGTAGATAATCATACTAGTTCAAGGTAAAAACTATTTTTTGTGCTCTTCCCTGTCCCAGACCTCCCCAGGACCCCATCAATTGATTTATCTCATCAAGTTACATATTATGTAAAAAAAATCCCTGGTCACCCTTTATTTGACTCCTACCAATTAGAACAAATAGTTCTTTTGTTGTTTCTTTATCATGCACCAATGAAAATTATGGATCACTGTCTACTCTTACCACATGCAAATTTTGTAGAGACTGAATTAATTACTTTATTAAATTATTGTGCATTTTAAAATATTTTATTAGTTTGGAGCATTAAGTTTGGTGTCTAGTGTATCTATAACTGGCATTTTTAAGAAGCTTTATTGGAAAAAATATAATTGTATTTCTAGTTACACTCTCAAGAAATTACTGCAAAATCAATTCCCATTGTTTACAGAGTTTAGTTCTCAGATACATTTACTATTCTTTACAGTTTACAGTTTTCCTAATAGAATGGTACTACATAGAAAAGAAATTATGACAAATTCAATTGCACCACTACAGAATACAGAATTTGATATGAAGTGAAAAAGTCTTGAATGACTTCAGCATCTTTAATGCCTCAGTACCTGAATAATTTACATGTGTTACACTACCTCAAGCTGGCTCTGGTGGCATTCTCTGCATTTATTCTGTCTGAATCATTTCCATCAAAATTTTGAAAGGCTATGGGCTAATTTCATTTATTTATAAAACTTGAATCTATGTTACCTAGGTTTGATCTGATAAAGCTATGGCTAAAAGGGATATAAGTGTATATAATTTATTGCATAAAAGTAATATTTATCAATAAATGAAAAGAAATATATTAAATGCGTTTAATTTACTGAATTTTAAATAAAAACAGAAAATGATTAAGAAAACCCAGTAAGTTCGAGACTAATTATTTATACAGTGTGATAATAATCTGGCTGACCAACATACATCATTTCGATTTTAAATCTACTTGAGGTGAGCTGTATCCTTCTATCAGATAATCCATAGTAAAAGAATCTATTCTTTATCTGTGGAAGATTTTTAAAATGAAAATACAGAAATCAAGCTAAAGGAGAAATATAGCATAGATTTATTCATTGGAAATCATCATTTTATACTTTTATTGCATTTCAATGATTTTGAATCATAACAAGAATGCAAACTTCATATATTTTTTCTTCAAAAACTCTAATTTATGATCAAATTTTATATTACAGTACAATAAGACCCTGCTTAATGCTGCCTCGCTTAACACTGATTTGATAATGCCGTCTGCTCAAAGCCTAAAAAAGCTCATAATTTATGCTGATTTATTGCATTTTATTGATTCATACATAATACAATTATTTACTAACACGAACCAATCAGAAAAAGGTGGCCAAAAGGCGTACTATCTTTAAATCTATGTTTATATGGTGAAATTTTGGAAAAAATATAACATCATGGATGCCATAGGCAATATTGGCTTTGCTTGGCAAAAATTAACTGATAAATGCACGGACGAAGTATGGAAGAAGTTATGGCTGAAGGTGTCCACGAATTCTCAACAAGAAGAGCCTATCGCTGTATCGTTAGGTTGACCAAACTCAATCTAATCGATATAGCAGGACTAGGAGACATAGACTAACAGGATATTGAAGAGTTACAGCAGGTTTCTGGTGAGAGCCTTACCAACGACGAGCGTTACCACCTGTCCGGTTTTCACCCAGACAGTCCAGGAATTGACTCACTGTCCAGGTGAACTATCACTGTCCAGGTGAACTATTGATTTTGTCCAGGAATTTTGTAGAAATTGTGAAATTACAATGAAACAAAGTTTTTGCAAATATATTTACAAATTTACACTATTTTAACAGTGAAAGAACTCACACCCAGGACCGGCCCAGTCATATAGGCAATGGCCTAGGGTGCTTGAATTCTGGGGGCGGCATGGCGAAAGTACATGCGTAAATTACAATAAATAACGAAAAAATAAATATTTTTTTATCACAATTTTTTCTCACGTGTTGACCCGTAAGTTGCCATTTTGAAAGTAGCACTGCAGTCTCACAATTGTGATATTGCGAGCTGCATATTGAATAAAAATTAGATACTCTATTTTACATTGGTGTTTTATATTGTTGCGAATTTTTTAAAATGGGGCGATGTCAAAGTCATTTGCCTAGGGCGCTGAGTTTGCTTGGGCCGGCAGTGCTCACACCTACTGAATCTCATCTGCAATTCTGCCATGTTCGTCTGTTTTACCTAGCACTTATTCTTTGCATTGTAAAATGACATTGTGCATGCATCAGGAACTTCTGTTCGAACTAGGGTTTCTCATTTCCTGGTCTTTTGCTTATCCCGGGATCCCGGGATAAAAGTGAACTGTTTCCCGGGATCCCGGGATAGAATTAATTATTTTTAAGGTATACAAAATATCTTGAAATCAAATGATATAATTATTTTCCATTTTTTAAAGTAATTTTAAAGTTCTGTAACCTCCAAAATCATATTAATAATGCTGTGTAAGGTCTATAGGCCTATAATAAAAATTACCTTTAAATAACGTAGAAATTTTCACAAATAGAAAAAAATTAATTAAAGTTTGCTGGAAACTGCATACAACAACAAAAAAAAAAAAATGTTTTGAATTGAGTTAAAAATTAAAAAAATGAACTTCTAATTTAGAAGGTAATTTTCGTTTTTTAAATAAAATATAATACAAAATATTGCAAACTTTTATAAGATTTTAAAAAGCAAAGATGGTCAATACTCCGATAACTCACTCTAATTCTTATTTTAGTAATGAAAAGTCTTGCCACCGAGAATGCCCTTTCCGATTCAATTGATGTGATTGGAATAGTGTTTAATGCATTTAAGAGAAGACAGATATTATGTGTTTTTTCACCTGTAGCCTGGAAGATTTCGAGTTCGTTTTCGAGATTGTAGTACTTCTTTCGCTCTCTAGTATTCTTGATTTGTCTACCTTGGCTGCTTTAATAGCGGCATCAAGCTTAGAGCTCGATAATTCGGCAATTCATTTGGCTTTAATAATCAGGTTTATGAAGAAAAACTTCATACTTGCAGACTTTGTACTCGTTTGTATCCTTGCCCAATTTGCACAATCTGGCGTCAGGCATTTATTGAAGCTACTGGGCATGGTTAAAACTCAAGACAGCGTAAGCACAATTATTCCAGATATTACAGGTTCCGACAAGTAAAGAATTTTTATAGTCATGCCACAAATAAGCTATATATTGATTATTGACCATTTGTGACATGCTATAACGAGCAAAAATTTAAAAAAAACTAATAGGTAGGTTTAAAATTAATAAATACAAATGTATTCTGACAGTGAATGAGTTAATTATGCTTTCTATTTGCAAAATTCCTCAACCTTAACACAAAATAAGAAAAAAAATGAATTTTTAAGAAATTTGCGGGATTTCCCGGGATAAGAAAAATTTCCCGGGTTAAAAAAACAACCGGAATCCCGTTTGAGAAACCCTAGTTCGAACAAACCTGACCTGCCGTCCAGATCAGCAATTTTGAAAAGATGGCAACATTACCAATGACGACCTTCAAGAATTGGCAGAACAAGGCAATCCATGTAGAACTGGAAAATAGTGACTCTGAAAACGAAGAACCCAAAAAATTTCTCTACAGATTTCCTTAGTAAAAGTTTGGTAACAATAACCAAAATCATTGATCAAATTGTAGTGAATGATCTAGATTTTGAAGAGTGCAAAAGCAAAACAAGGCATTTTCGATGCAATCTTCTGCTACTGACATTTGCTTAAGGAAAAAAGTGACAAATGAAACTTCAGGACTTTATTGCAAAAACAAGAATTTCAGAAAAGTCAGATCCTTCGTCATAAAAAATGAACTAATTAATATAAAGTATTATTATACATTTCTGTGTGCATGTGTTTGTGTTATTTAACATATGTTATTATACAAATTAATATAAAAATAACTTAAAGTAAATTTTTTAATTTTTGGACGTTTTCCCCTATCCCTTTATTTACTCTATGTTAATTAAAATGTCCTCATTTAACACTGCTCCATTTAGCCCTTTGTCGTCTAGGAACGCATCCTCCGCGTTAAGCGGGGTCTTACTGTATTTCCATTAACATCCAGTGATACCAACTTGGGGATTCCGTTAAATTTAGAGGGAAAATGTAAAGTCTGCCATTATCGATTAGGGACTGTCCATAAATGACGTCCACACTGGGAGGGATGGGGTTACAAGTCGGAGGGGAGGGAAAAGATTGAGCTTCAGTAGACGTCCGTTTATTTCATTAAATTTTATACAGTTTATGTATTTTTATTATATTTATTTCAAAATTTCTTGTACATTTATTTTCTATACTTTTTCTGTACTTGTTATCTATTCGTAAAGTAATAGTTTTAAGACGGGTTCAGTTTTGTTAGACGTCCGAAGACGGGAGGGGATTTCAAGAAAAATGAGGACATAATTTATGGACAGTCCTTAGTGGAGTTTCAGGAGTAAGTAGGAGCTTCCAAAAGTTACAAGACTCATGACTTATCGTGGCCGCAAATTAAGAGTCTGTGCACGCTGCGAGATCGGGAGCAGATTGCTTCATCACATTATGCTTTTCCTCAACTGTACCCACGCCGCCTGAGTTCTAAAGTGTAAATTTGTTTCTCTGGATTGTCAAAAGACTAATATTTTTGGTGTACAGTACTGTACATTGCACCTGTTTAGGGGGTTTTCACGACAGAATGTTAGCGACATATATAAGGCCACGAAATGATGATGTAGTTAGATGGTTTTATTTAAATTAAGTTTCATTTAGATTTTCGGTTTTATTATTATTAAGTTATCATCGAATTAAAAAATAATAATTAACTTAACTAAATTTAAAAGTTATTTGTTTTTTATAAAAATGTTGGAATCGACAACTGAATTTTTTAAAAAATTAAAAGCTTAATTAAGATTTCTGTTTTAGAGATTATTTCCTAACAAACTTCACAATTAAGGATTTGTCATTGTTTTTATTATAATTCGTGCACTTTTCCTCAATTTTGTAATTAACGAGTATAATTTGATATACAGGAGTATATTAAATTCGTTGTAAAACATTTTTAGTTGTTTATAAAAATATTTCTAAAAATACAAAAGAAATTAATTTTGTATTAATTTTCATTTTATTTTATATTTTATTTTTTTTTAACATTTTTTAACACATTGTTTGATTTTGTACTACGGCCACGTGGATTTAGGGCAACAATAAACATGTGATGTCTAATGAAATCAGCAGTTCTCAAATATTGCGATATTTACATCGTTCCGATTTGCATTATTTAAAACGATAATGATATTTGAGATAAGCGAGAGTTTAAAATTGAGAATAAGAATTGAGAATTCTTAGTTTTTCTTTTGTAATTGGTGCTAGAATACACATAAATGAGATTTTTAAGTAAATAGCTTATTCAGAAATGCAGTCATGGCTAAAATCTAGACGATCGTATTCATCACTACAATATGATGACGATTTTAAGGTAAACTATCTAATTTTCAAATCGGATATTTGTTTATTTCACAATAACAATAATGAAACATGAATCTGGATGAATGGAGAATTTCAGATAAAATTAAAAATCATATTTGAATAAAAAAATAAATTTCAATAATGAAAATTATGGTTTCTAATTATTTTATTAGTTATTCTGTGATAGCAAACAGAAAAAATAAAGTAAGTGCACAGATTGGCTCTGTAAAATCTTATCCAAATCTGTATATTTTTTATCAAAATATAGCCTGTAAGCCTTATAACATTGAAAAGAAAGTATTGAAAATAATAATATATGAAATAATTAGAGAATATTATATCTGTGAAGGTATTAATGGTTTTATAATCATATAAGAGTAATGATTAGATGAATTATGAGCGAATGAATGAAATTTTATTAAATTTACTGTAAACAGTATTAAACTATAAAGTATGGACTCTTAATAAATCCTGTAATTGTTATAAAATAGCATAGGATGTGACTATATCAGTAAATGATAATTTAACGTGTAGTTCAGGATTATTTTGTATGACTGCTATTTTTTCCTGATTAATTAATAAGATGCAGCTTGCATATGTGCATAAAATGTATTGTTTTTCTGGAAAGATAATACATGCTAAAAATATCTGTCTGAAAAGTAAGAATGATTTTACAAAGACAGAAAAACCCACTACCCAATCAGCCACTGATAGGAAGCTGTATATGGTTATTTACTGATATGAGATGTCAAAAATTACTCTTATTCATTTGCTGGCATGATTGTGGCCATGATTTGACACATAATTGAGGATAATTTGAGGATAATTGACAGATATTTTGACAGAGATAAAACTGTTAAAATTTTGACAGAGATAATTGACAGAAATAAAACTGGTCTTTTACCATATAAAGGTTTTGATGGATATGTGATTATTATTCACATTCAATATATTATGATCACTATACCTCATTTGTGACCCTTGCGTTTCGTCAACGTGTCAGTTATCTTCATAACTCAATGCTACAGACATATGACTTAATTGTACAACTGTGGTGCAAAATAAAGTGCTTCAGTATGGATTATGCATATCCTGGATATATTATTTGTGCTACAGACGTGTGACTATATTACAAGTGTTTGTGCTGCAGGCAAGTATCTTTAATAGAGCCTTGTGTCCTTGTATCATCAATTACATATGGTCCATCATGATGTGATTAGACAAGAATACACCATCTGATTGGGAAGACATTGTGGAACATACGACTTCGCTCCATAAACTTTAAATGGTCGACAGTCTGTGTTACCCTAACATCTGTTATAAACTATTAATGGCTTCATCATTGATGATCTTTGACAAAACTCACCATCAAAATAAACTGTGCAATAAACAACTCGACTTCATGAAATCTGAAGGATCTCCACCTGTAATACGATATAAATACAACACGCTCAACAAATTGTCAAATAGTATAAGTTTAGTTCTAAGATAGTCATAAGTTTAGTTTTAATTTAGATTTAGTTAATCTTAATTTAACTTTATTTTATCTTTATGTTTTTTTTTTTTTTTTTATGTATTTCTTTCTATTAATATTGTTAAACAATCTGCATGACAGATTGTAAGTATATATCTACTATGTTACACCAAAAACTTGTATTTCTATCTTAATTCACTACTGTGATATCGATATGTAACTTTATACTAATAATGTACTACTCCGCCGTCTTTTGTTTACTTACAATATGTTAAGCGGTTTCTTCATCTGCGAAATATATTTTGATAAATAATGTGCATATATCTCTCAGCTATGTATTAAACGGTACTGAGAATGCACCTACAGGGTGTTTAATAAAAGAATTGAATTGAATTGAAAAATGATTTGACACATTAACTTAGAATTCCAGTGAATGACTGTGGTAGTCATTTACTAGCGACTCATCCTAGCCAAAATTGGAAAAATAAAGATATTTCGAAGTTTAGTTGTAGTATAAATAATATCGCACTTGGTTCCTAAATAATTCAAATCAGATTGAAAATATTGATTTTCACACAAATTCTTAGATTACAAAATTCCTTAATTATATTTTTTTTTTGTTTAATCAAATCCATCCAACAAACAAAGTGATAATTACAGATATGTCGTACTAACCTTGTATAGTTTTGCAGTTATTACTAAAAAACGTAACACAAACACATTTTCGACTCACTTCTAGGGTCTTCCTCAGGTGTTTTATAAGATGCTTGTGTTACGTTTTTTGGTAGTAACTGCAAAGCTATACAGGGTTAGTACGACATATCTGTAATTTTTTTGCTTATTTAAACACAATGTTATATAAAATAAAAATTTAATGATGCCACATTTTAATTCTAATAAATTTCTTAATGGTAAATTTAATTTTAAAAATTAAATAAGTTGAAAGTTGTTCTAATATAATGCTATTAGCAAATTATTAAAGTGCTAATCTTGAAAAGTATAAAATAATCTAAATAATAATTAGGTAATCAATAATTATTTATTCAAATGATTTACAACAGATTAATTAATGAAGATGAATTTACAAAATAAATTTTTGCATTACAAAATTAATTATCACAGTCAGGGCTGATTCTAGAGTTTTTGCCACCCTAAACAAACAAAGTTGCTTGTTCCTCATACCTTTAAAAACTGACTCAGAAAAATACATTTATTTATTTTTCATAGAATTATTATTTGTGAAATACTATCCTTGAAAATGTGCTGCCCCAAGCAGATGTTTACTTTGTTGGTGTCTAGAGCCAGTCCTGATCACATTATTATTTTGAAAATTAGAATTAAATTGTAATAAGAAATGTTAATCATATATGAAAATTGAATAACAAATTAAATATAGATATCCCATTGTGTATATTTGCACAAGCATCGTGTGAAATGTTTACAAATATTTTATGTTTTAAACTATATGTTATAAAAAATTTTTAATATATGGAAGTTGAATATAAAAATATTATCATCTGAAGTTATTTTAAGGATTTTTGATGTTTAATTTGTCTACAAAAGTATCGTATTTGTATGAGACAGCTGTAGAAACAAAGTTGAGTGTGTAACTACAGTACAGTATCTAATATTTGAAACTGACATTAAACTTAATGAATGAATTTTGCTTCTTGCAGATAATATTATTTTTATGTGAGTATATACATATTACATATTTATATTAAATTCTTAAGTTTTGATGATGAATTACTTCAGATAATGATTACACAGTCAATGTTGTTATTACATCTTCAGCAATAATAAATTATGATTTATGTATGTTATATAATAAAATGTTTTTGATAAATCAATCTTTTACTTTTTCAAATGCTTTCAGTATCCATATTGTAAGTCTGTGTTAAAAATATAGGAATTGGCTTTGCTATTCCTACATGAAATTTTTATTCAGTTATTTATTTATTTCCAAAGTTTAATGACTGCTAAAATTTGATTTACAATTATAATTCTTGTTTTACTGTGTAAATTATTAATTTATAAATATTTTAGCTTATATAAATAGTTTATATATTTATTTTGAGTTTTAATATTCAATATATATTTCTGTAATGGAATAACATTGATTTTTGATAGTAAACATTACTACAGTATAGTTTTTGATGTACAAAGATAAATTAAATCAATTTTACAGTGACAGCTAAAATTTATAATAATGTTAATCTGTAAAACTAAGATAATTTTTTAAAATAAAATTTTATGTTATAAATTAATGATATAATTTTAAATTTAATTTTTTATATTTAAATATTTTTGATATTTTGTAGATTTAGTTCATTAGTAAAAATCTAAAAAATTTGTTAGGAATAAGGAATTAAAAAATTTTTAAATTTATTTATTAATTTAAAATAATCAGAACATGTCTGTTTCTTTTAGGATAAACCAAAGTATAGTCTTCCCAGTAACAACATGAATAGAATTTGTGGTCGCCTTCCAATTATTTTGAATATTGTTATTTTAACATTAATAATTGGTATTATTATAACAACTATCAATATATATGAATTGCATAGAATGCAAAAAGAACATTATTCATTGCATCATAATTTACCAGTTGCTAATGTTAAAACTGAAACTTTTCAATGCACTAAACCAATTGCATGGATCCATGGAAGAAATGTAAGATTTTAATACATAAAAATCACTAAAAATTATTGTGATATTGTCACAATGTTGGGCTGTAATTTTTAATCATATTTTAATTTCAAAATCATGTGACTTCTGTTCCAGATCAGAAATTCATATATAGTTAATTGAGGCCACCTAAGCTTTCCTTATCTAGTTTCAATTTTTTTTCTATCTAACTCCATTCTCGAGATTAATGAATGACGATGGACAGACAATAGTGGGAATCTTTATGATCTGTGATTTGAAAATTGCAGCCCTTCAAAGTTCTTATTCTATTTATTAGAAGATTAAAGTTTTTAATTAATGTTTTTAGTTCCTTCATTTATATTTTATTCTTAGCTTGAAAGTGGCTATCTCAAGCATGTATTTATTGTTTTTGAAAGACTTGGTTATGAAATTAATAACAGCAGTTCTGATTGGGACGTTCTTTGGGCACACGATTATCCTTTTTCAGAATTATCCTCTATAATGTTGCATTTAAAACATTATCAAAAAGTAAGTTTTTTTAATACCATTGTTATAAACTTAATTTGATAATTATATTTGCCTGATTCTAAGATGCATTTTTTTTTTTAAATTCTTGCTTGTCAAAAATAGATGTGTTTTAAAATAATATTGTCTTAAATTTGTAGTTATTAACAACAATCAGAAGTCATTAAAGTACACTATGCGATGTATTATGCACTAATAATAAATGTTTTCAGCTATATGGCCATGTTTGTTTAAATGTGTTTTGCTGGTAACAAGCATTTAATTTTAACTGCATTTAAGTGTATAAAATGCCTTCTAGGCAAAATTATGATACAACATCAAATTGAACAATAATTGTATATACAGAAGAATGTAGAAATAGAGCTACCAAACTTACCTGTTTATTGTTCTTTTTTTAACTTGTTACTTAACTTTAAAATTGATTTATTTAAAAATTTTGTCTTCCATGAAAAAATAATGTTAAAATTCAATTTTAAATTTGTGGTGCATCTTAGAATCAAGGAATTATAGTATATATAAAATCAGATTAATTTTCTGTCATAGGTAAATCATTTTCCCGGATCTGGATATGTTACTAATAAAGTAAGTCTAGCAACATCAAATTTGAAGCACATTCCTGCTGCTTTTCAAATACCAGATGATAAGGAAAAGTTTTTACAATATGTAAGTATTATATATTTATTCATTCAATAAATAGAAAACTTATTATATAATATATGTAGTTTGTATTTTTTAATTGTATAATTCATATTTTAAAGCTAAGCTTTAATTGTAGATTTTTCAATAGACTATTTCAATAATTGAACATTTTTTGAGATAGTCAAATAATTCAAGTAACTTAAATTTACTGATTTTCAAATTGCCAAACTATTTAGGTAGTTAACCAGTTATGAAGAATAATCAAAAATGTTGGCATATATTTTCATTTCACAAAAAGATTCACAATAACATTAGTAACATTTATTCAAATTTCATTACATGTTCTTCAAAATGGATTAATTATAGCTGGTTAATAATTAGTTAATTGTCAAGTAAACTTTTACAATTAATCTGTTATGAATAATATCCAAAAATAAATTAATGATTCTTTATGTTTTCATTTCACCAAAAGACTTGAATGTTTCTAATACTGTTGGGAGTCTTTTAGTAAGATGAAAATGTGAGAATCTGAATTTAAAATTCATTTATTTTTCTAAATTATAAAAATCAATGTAATATTTTGTCACAAAAATTCAACAATTTTCTAATTTTTGAGGAAAATTAAAAGAAGATAAGGAAATACAGTTTCCTTTCTCAACCATTTATTTCCTTAGAGAATTCACATCATTTCTAATGACTAAACTCCAAGATAACCCAACTCATTGTCATGTGACAAGAAACTTAGCTCCTCATTGGAGATAAATTTGAGTATAAAAGAGTTTTACACATCAGATTCATCGCAGACTCCTCGATACAGGAGAAGCCATTAGAACCTGCAGACCTCTGTATACTAGAGTCACCATATTTAGTTGATTATTTTATTTGTGCCTGATCAACTTTGGATGTCCCAACTTCCATCTTTATGAAATGAGTGAAAGAATACATTTATAGAGGTAGTATATATATTATTGTAAACTCTCTAAATATAAAGATTCATAATAAAAGTAGTTAGATTATATTTTAATCTTGTATTTAATTTTTGTCCTTATTAAATTTTGTTTTATTACTTAAATTGGTCTGGTTTTGAACTGATTTGGTGATTTGACTGGGATTGTATGATCTTTAGTCTAAATTATTCTTTTAAACCATCCACTGACAATGTGAGTGAGTCTCACCAACTTGTTGCCGATAAGAGTTCAGTAGACCATCGAATCTGGCATCTTACAAAAATATAAGAAACCATTATTTTTGATATTTTTCATAACTAGTTAATATTATTATTTTTTCTTTATTAATTAATTAATGATAATTTTTAGCATAAAATTTTGATCTGTTTGATTTTATCATTTATTTAATATCAATAATAACATTAAATAAATAAAACTTTTTTGAGATTAAAACTAGACTTTTATTTTTGAATATTCTTTAATATTTTTATTTCTTGCATAGTTGTTATTTTGCAAATTATGAAATTTAATATTTTAACAAAGTTCTGATAATTTTCAATAATTTTAGGGTTCATATAGTCAAATTTTAAACAATTATGCTTCATTGTTTATTCTAACTTATGTATTACAAAAAGGGAAATATTTAAATTAATTTTTAAAAATTCCTTCAGCTTTCTAAATAATGAAAACTATTCATTTTAGAGTTCAAAGTGAATATACTGGAAATTAAATAAAGTTTTAATAGATATTTTTATCGTTTCTTATTAAATTAACAGTTGGTTTCTATCAGTTCTTATAGTATTTTAGTTATATGTGATGATTAATTATTAATTAAATTACTATATTACCTGATTAATTAAATTACTATAAGTATTGTTAATGATTAATGTTTGGTCATGTAAATGATTCTAAGGCTAAGAGTAATATGCAGAAAATGTGGGTTCAAAAGAGCAATAATCATCGGGGAATTATTGTGAATAAAGTTGGAAATCTGGATTTGGAAAGTGAAGGTACATTTGTGCAGGAATATATTAGCAATCCTTATCTTATTGATGGAAGGTAAAATTCTTTACTTTTACTTTAATATAAGCTTTGTTTTATTTGTAATATAATGTTTTCTTTTTCAGAAAATTTGATATTGGTGTTTATACTATTTTAACATCTATCAATCCACTGAGAGTATATGTTTACAGTGGAGATGTTCTGTTAAGGTAAAGCTTTTAAAATTTCTTCATATATTAAAAATATTAAATTATTATGCAGGATGACAAAACCTTTGCCATCTTTATTAACCTGGATTCTACACTCATGTAAATTCCTTTTTAAATATTTCCTTATTTGTTGGGATGCTGTGTTATTATTATTATTATCTTCAGTCACTTTAATGCTTAAGCTTGACATAGATTATCTTAGATGCTTAGATGAGAGAGAGGAGACCACTCCTAATACATTAAAATTATGCTTCACTTCATAAGTTGTGTACTTGTGGTCCCTGTTTATAATTACTCTCATATGTAAGTAACTATGTTATGTTTATATTATGTTGTATATTATTATTTATTGTAATGCTGTTTTTGAGCAGCATGAAGAGGGTCTAAGATAATATATTAGCCTGAAATGCATATGTAAATTTTAAAACATGCCACAATAAAAATTATACGTCGTTAACCTGGATAGTGTGTGCAGTGAGAAATAATCAACTTGATTACAGGATTAAAGTGATTGAAAATAATAATAATAATACAGCATCCCAACCAATAAGAAGATAAATTAAACAATTTATTGTAATGTATCTTTTAATTGAATGTTGAAAGAAAATTTTTTCAGCATTATGGAATTAATTTTAATAATATATTTCTTTTCCTCTTTTTAGATTTTGTTCAAAGGATTATTATCCATTTAGTGCTGCAAATCTTGATTCTTATGTTGTTGGTGATGATTACACCCCAATTTGGAAAGTAGGTTAAAGCAATTTCAGATGTCATAAAAATTAATAATTTAAATTTTTTAATCATTTTTTATGTTGGTTATAGTTAAGTATCTCGTGTTCTCTAAATAATAATATATTTTTCTCCTCCACTATCTTTCAGATTCCATCATTGCATAAATATTATGTTAATTTAGGACATTCCATGAAAGAATCCTTGAATGCACACATCAGATCACAAGGTAAGTTAAAGTATTTTGCAAAAAAAGTGCAAAATACAGATATTTTTTTTAAAAAAAGAAAAACATTCATATTTGCAAAAAATTAAAAATAAACTTTATTGAATATTTCAAAAGGAGGATACAGTTGTAATTCTTTTCTAAAATTGTTAAAATAATTTCAATATGCAATTTGAATGTAGAAGGTATGGTTGCTGTATGTTCAAATTCTATGTGTAGCGTCCTTGTAATCCAAAAAATGATTCTTGGTAGATGACCAAACAGCAATTGGTTAGGAAAACATTACGGTTTATTTAAAACAATTTTTTATTCAAATGCATTTCAGGTTGGTTTATGTTCCCAAACCTTCTTCGGTGCTGTTAAAAATACAAATCAAAGTAAGGTTTACGACATTGATAAATATGATGTAAAAAAGGGGAGAATTAACTGAAAATGTAAGTGTTCATAGATACTCTGAAACGAATAATCTGTATTTATTTTTTTTTATATAAAAGATGCGTTAAACAGCAATATTTTATACATTTTTCATATTATTGTGAATGGTCATACGCCTATGTGATAAAAATATAGTAACACAATTTTAAGATGTACATCATATGACATGTAAGTTTTTTATGTTATTGTTTTTCCCCTTTTTTTTCCTTCATATTTACCCATGTCGTGAACCTTACTTTGATTTGTTTTTTTAACAGCACTAAAGAGGGGTTGGGAACATAAACAAACCTGAAATGCATTTGAATAAAAAATTGTTTTAAATAAACCATAATGTTTTCCTAACCAATTGCTGTTTGGTTGTCTACCAAGAATCATTTTTTGGATTACAGAATGCAATTTGAACTTTGAAACTAAACTTTGTTTCATGAATATTTAAAGATAGTTCAATATGAATTCAATTTATTCATATATATATTAGTATACTGCAAAAAAAGAATTATGTTATAAAATTCTATTACATTAATATTCAATTTTTTATAAATTGTGCTATATGTAATTCAAACTATGTTAGAAATTATTTGGAATATTGAAGTTTTTGAATTAGTAAAGTGCTAGTGCTGTAAAATATTAAAATACATATTACAATAGAACACAAAAAAAATGAATGTTTTATTATAGTGTAATAGTGTGACTATATTATAACATATTTGTTGTAATGTAATTCATGGACAGAAGAATTGAAAATACTGTTTCATTTCTATTCAAAAATATATTTAAAATTTTGCCTTCTTATGAAAAAATGATTTATGAAAGCAATTCAAATTAGAGGTTTTTATTAACTAAACTTAATTTTTGGAAAACATATTTTGAATTTCAGAATTTATTCAGAATTTATAAAACAAGCATACTTGTACTGTTTATCAAGTTAACTGCTGCATACAACTGAACTAAAATTATAGCCTGTTTCAGTGATGGCAAATCTGATATAGGCTATATGATGATTTTGAGATACTTGAATTAAATCTTCAGAAGGTATTAGGTTTTTATAATTTATAAAAAATATTTAATTGATTTTAAAACATTGCACATGTAATGTCCCTAAAGCTATCATGAAAAGTCTTAAAGATGGCTAATTATGAACTTTGGAAAGAAAAATTATATCACCAGACCACATATCCAATAAACATAGGACTGGAAGTGCTCCAGATTTCTGTATTTTTCAGTTTTCTGGACAAAGGCTAAATATATACTTAAAATATAAAGTAAACAATAGAAAGTAAAGAATGAAACTGTTTTTTAACACAGTGTGACTGCTTGTTGCAGTCACACAGGAACTGGCATTGTGTGATATGTATACTGTGGAAACCAAAACAAAGCAGCTATATGGCTAACTACAGTTGTACTACAACTTGCCAAATTCAAAACTAGCCAGTTTCAAACACAGCTGTTTTCTGATAATTCTGGATTTCTGGAAGTCAGATGTTTGGTCCAGTACCATATTTGTTTTTGTTATAACCACATTACTACTGTATTTTCTTTTCATTTATATAGAGATTTTTTTTGTTGTAGATTAAAAAGTTAAATAAAGTAATAAGAAATGCTTATAAATTTTATTTCAATTTTTTAATTACTCAAATTAAATACTTAACCGTGATTTGGAGTTAGTAAATTTCAAATTTATTTTTGACCCACCTTCAGAAAAAAGTTTGTTGTCACTGTCTACATAATCAGGATATAATATATTAGACTTTTAAAAATGAGTAAATATTGTTTAAAAAATAGAAAATAGTTATGATTAGTTTTGTCTTCCTTTTTCTAAAACTACATTTTTAATGTAATTTTTAATAAATAGAAAACAAATACTTATATTTTTTAATTTCTGTATTTAATTTATCTTTTCTGATAGTTCAAAGTTACTTTGTCATACTGAATATTTTAAAATGAAAACTTATTTAAGTTATTGTATGATTATGAAAGAAAATAACATGAAATGTTTACAAAATTTTCAATATTTTTAATAAAGAACTAGAATAGCACTAAATATTTAAAACTCATTGATTTTCATAAAGCAGGCATCTAAGATTTATGCTAATGTAGATCAAGAAATCCTTATTTGTTTTAGCCATTGATAACCAATTGAATTCTAGAATCTATATTTTATTTATCATCTTTGATTTGATCTTGATTTGTGATCAACTAGAAACTTTTTATCATTCCTTAGTAAACCAGAAAAACAAAAATGTTGGGAGAGTTTTCTTTAAAATCTTGTTTTTACGGATATATTTTTCAGGAACAATATACTGTATCTACATGAATAGTGATCTGAAAGCCATATTCAATCTCTTAAGAGCTTAATTTTTATATATAGTTTTATTTAAAATTTTCAATTTACTCATCAAAATATGGAACTTTGTGTCAATAGTAAATTTATATTTCAGATCAGGTAGTATATTGTAATATTATAACATTTAATTGCATTTTTTTGTTTTTTTTTTAATAATACCAGTATAATAAATTCTTTGGAAATTTTCCAGTTCTGTCCCTGCCTAGTTTTAATACTGATAAAATAACTTACCTAATATGTCTTATAGTGAGACATTTATGTAAGTTATTTTATCAACATCATAGCTAGGTTAAGCTTTTATTCTTAAGAAAAATTTTTGTATTAATATATCTTAGGTAGAAAGATGAAAATTTAAAAAAGTAAATTATAATACTATGATATAAAACATCTGCATTGTCAAGAAATATTGAATTAAACATAATATTATAACTATGATAATGCATTGTACAATTAGTTTTTCATATAACCATCATAGTAGAATTAGTTCTATGATTAATTAACACATTACATTATCATGTAATAATGTTGTTACATAAAGAATTATAATGAGAAATGGAAGCAATGGTCATGTTATCTGGTAAAATGGCTTAAATACATAACCAAACAATGACATATTCTGTTTCATTTGAAATGAATGTCATTGGTCTGCTTTGTCCAGCCATATTAAAGCTGCTTTACCAGACAATGCATTTTTTATGTTGTATCTTAAAATTACAGTAATTTTTGTTTTTAAGTGTTAGTCAAAATAGCTTTTTCTTATCAATTTGGTATATTTATTTCAGAATTATTCTGGTTAATGTATTTCTATACATTAAATTCAAACAAACAGCTGGATTCCTTTATTGGGCTAGTAAGACTAAATAATTCCTTTTTGTTTAGCCTTAATAGCCTAATAAAGGAAATCATCTGTTCATTTGATATTTGAACTAATTATCTGGTTGTATCTATTATATACAGTGTGTCCCAAAAGTATATGTAATCAATCAAAGTTCTTATTTCTGTGAATTGTTCCATAGTTTATTATTCTACAGTAAAATATTTTTTATTCTTATTATTTTAATGGTACACTTATTTCACATCATTCTGTTTTATTACTTTAATAGTTTTACAGTATACAATGTCACAGTTTTAAATTTTATAGTTTTAACTGTGTACTTTATTATGTATATTGTTTGCCTTACAATGTTATGTATCGAATTGTTGTATTTGTTCAAATACCTGTTAATCAATAATCATCATCCACATTGTATCCATCGTCACAATTTCCTGTACTTCTCATAATCAATTATATCGCATGGAGTTGAAAAGGGTCTTAATTAATGTCCGAAATGCATACTCCTCAGGGAAATAAAGATATGATTTTCTAAAGTTTCTCCTCTCTCTGACTGATGGTATAATAAGTCTAGCGAAAAAGGAAAAGCCTTTATAGTGCTAGTATATTGAATATATAATCAATATTTTATTGCTTTTCAGAAATGTTAGGAATTTAAGTGAAATGGAAATGATTTCATTTGTATATGCAAATTACTGTACACTGATTTTTGATAATTTTAAAATTAAAGATTATTATATTAATAATTTAACAACAAAAATATATTTTTGGCTGTCCCAAAAGTATAGATTATAAAGCAGAATTGCAAAATTTGAAGCACATGAAACTTTAAATTAAAAAAAATAATAAATGACATACATAACACTTTTACTTTCTTCGTGTTTCTTTATGCAGCGCTTGCGAAGCACTTTACAGTGAACACACTGAAACTGGATTCTAATTGGCCAACACTGCTCGTGACATCATTTCACTACACTCTTGCTGCATAAAGAAATGTGGCCTTTGTTGTCAAGTAGTAATTTAAACACTGAACCAAAACTTTCCAAAATTCCACATGGAAGACACTATTTATAATTTATTTTGTATACTAGTACATTCTATATATTCACAGGTGAACTTAATAAAGAATATTATTTTTAAACTGTAAGACTAAATATCTGCATCCATAATTCCAGTATAATAAGTCCTGTTAATATATAGAATGTACTAGTATACAAAATAAATTATAAATAGTGTTAAAAAAAATAGGACAAAAAGGCATAATAATTAAAATCCACATGGAAGAGTTTAGTATGGAAGAAATTGCATGAACATGGAAATTAAAAGCAGAAGGCTGTAGTGTCAAGGAAATTGTTGTTTTAACAAACAGATCTACTTCTGGAATTTATAAAATTTTGGAAAAATCATCACCAATACCTTCTAAACATCAATCAGGAAATCATATCTCAAAGGAATGATAATTGAATTGTGCATCTTGCATCACAACAGGATAATCAGTTCATCAAATTTTGTGTGAAAATGGATTAAAAATATCAAAAAGCACTATTCGTTGAAGAATTTCAGCAGCTCCACATATGAAATTTCATGCATTGATGAAAAAACTAACAAAATGATACAAATTGGCAAGAATGCAGTGGAAGATCACATGCTGTGGAATGACCAATGACTCTCAGTCCTTTTCAGTGATGAAAAGAAATTTAATTTGTATGGCCTAATTACTGGCATGATATTAGGAAAGAAGACTGCAGTTTTTTAACAGGCAAGTGGGTAGTGGTTCTGTTATGGTGTGGAGCTGCTTTGGATTTAATGGTATATCAAATTTAGTGTTTTTAACTGATAGACAGACATCTAAAAGTTATGAAGAAGTCCTAAAAAATAATTTATTACCTATTGGAGATGAAATGGGAGGACTGGTTGCATTTCCCAACAGGACAATGCCAATATTCATTGTTCACGCTCAACAACTAAATGGTTTGAAGATCATAATATTCAAGTAATGAAGTGGCTGGCAAGAAGCCCAGACAATCCTATTGAAAATTTGTGGTGCATTCTTGCTTGAAAAATTTATGCTAATAACAGGCATTTTACAATGGTTTCAGAGCTTAAACAAGAAAACATTGAGTGCTGGTTTTTTAAATAGATCCAGAAATCTTACAAAATTTAATTAAATCAGTGTCTAATTGCATTTTTGAAGCCATTAAGCATAATGGCAGTTCTATTTCATATTAAAACAATTTTCATCAATTTATGTTATGAACTTATTTATAGTTTAGGGACTTTTTGACACAAAATACTTATTTTGTGATGTCCCAAACATGTAACTGCTAAATATTGTAAAAACAATTATATAATATTGTACTGTGCTATAAATAAACCATAACAACCACTCATATTGTTAAAAAAATACTTAATATTTAAAAAAATAAAAACATATAATTATGTATATTTTTGGGACACACTGTAGCTATAAATTAGTATAGATAATTTTAATTATATATATTTATATGTAAAATTTATTGTTATTGCTTAAATATATATATATATATATATATATTTTAATTTTCTATAG